ATTCGTGTAATCTATAAAACTGATCTTAGTTGATAACGCTTTATGCTAGCTGTTGTTGATATATTAATATGAATTTTTTTGGGGGGGTTCCCTTTTGGTATAGTTTTATGAAATTATATGTTGCCTAATTTCTGTGGGGCAAAGTGTAAAAATATCTATTAATCCCTAAAATTGCAATCTCGTAGTCAAAACGTTTAATTCAATCAATTATATAGAAAACGATTTCTACATATGTAGATAAGTAAAATACTCCTCTGATCCTAAATATAAGACCCATTTTATAGTGTAATTTACACTATAAAATAAGTCTTATATTTAGGACCGGAAGAGTATATATAAAAAAGAATAGAATTTAATTACTTTTATCCGACCGAAACACCTGTCGGCGCAGTGTAATGGGTGTATTATACTCCCTCCGTTTCTTATTATAAGAGACGAATAACCGAATTACGTTGATCAAAAAAGCAGTTAAAAGTAGTTAAGAACAATCAATGTGTAAAAAATATAATTTTTTTCCAAAAATACCCTCATTAATAAGGAGAGAGAGTATGAGAGAGAACAATTAAATTATTGAAAGAAAGAGAAGTGAGAGGGAGAGAGTGTGTGAATTGGAGACAATAAATATGGGTAAAATAGAAAATCAACACAAAAAAATAGAGACAACTTTTAAGTGTCTCTTGTATATAGGAACATGTCATAAGCACTAAATGTCTCTTATAATAAGGAACAGAGGGAGTAGTATATAGGCCGAACAGGACATTGTACACTTCCCTTGCACGCAACGGTTATTTATAAAGACGTCATATTCACTTGGTTAGGATTTTATATTTTAAGGGATGATGAATTACAGTCGTTATGATTAATTGAATAATGAGTACTGTGTTTATATTAAATCCATAGGTTGATGATATAATAAAGTAATGATTTTTTCCTAGATCAAGTTCACATGAATTTACACATCTGGATTACTCTTTTAGTCTATAATAATATAAGTCATTTTGACTAGCTAGTTTACTTGTTACCATAACTAAGAAATAATAGTTAGCTCATTGAATTTATCTCAATTTTTTTTTTAAAAAGCAACTTATCCATATTAAATGGGAATGCAAAAGGGAGGCTAGGAGTCACATTTAATTATTAATTTCATAGGAAAAATTGATAAATAAATATTAATTATCTTGCGAGTGCCTTATACTGTGAAACAAGAAATTATGGTTGCTAGAGATATGGCCTTATCAATTTTGATTTATAATGTATTATACAAAGCGCATTGAACCATGTAATTAAAATTTGTATTTATAAATTTTAGAGTTAAACAAAGCCCAAAATTCAACGACTGGGATGAAAGAAAATTACAATATAATACCTTTTCAAGTGTCGTTCATATATATATACACAAACTGATGCGACCACAGAGCTTCTAAACACTGTTTCAATATTCTGCATTTAACAACCTTGACCAAAGTTCTACTGTTTACTTTAATTGACTGATCAAATGTCGACCTGATGCATAACTCTAGCTAGTTGCCGACCACGTTTGGATACATATATAAAAATGAATGGAGATTGAAATTCTAATTAATGTAGACAATTTTATTTGCATTTAAAACGAACGTTTTCTTTTATATGAATTATAGACATATATTAATTTCCAGTTGCTATACAACCTATATAAACCTTTTGATGATAATATGAATACAGAAATTTCAAGATTGCACTAATAAAAGGTTCAAAAGAAAGGAATAAAATTCATGGCAATTTTTGTTGTGAATGGAGCTCATTTCAAGGAAATGAATTATATGAATTGTAATTGAAAATCAAGTGGCTACAGGGATAACGTGATTTGGCAAAAAAAACTTAATAAAAATGAATGTTGAGAATTTGGATCTGTGGGAAGAGGACAAGAGTCTGACGGATTGAGAGCTTTATAAATGCAACTATATATCCAACACAGCTCTGAACATGCCAAAAGTAATGGCGATGACCCAGGAATTAAATTAATCATATTTTCCTTTATAATAAGACCAATAATCCGAGTAAAATATTTAACTACTCCTGGATGCATGTCGGGTAAACATCATCTGCTGCAACAAGACATGGAAAAAGATGGCAGAGTAAAAAAAAGAAAGAGAACGGTCAGAACTGAGAAGGGAAGAATCAAATTTATAATTATTTATCTGATCCTATTTATAAGATAGAAAATGTCATATTTTGTCCTTAATATAAATCATCTCGCTAAGCTTATTATATAAATTTATAATTTCACCTCTAAATTATTGTTATGTAGATTATTATTTTCTTAAAATGAATACTCTGTACTGGATAGGAATATAATTGAAAAATTACTCAGTTGATTAAATTTTTAAGACAGAGCATGTATGAAGTGCCTTATAGGAGTACTTAATTTAGCTAATTTTAATCAATTACTAGTAAGAAGCAAATGGCATGCATTTAATGAGCACCCGATTATGCATTGAATGGACCACCCAAACAAAGCCTCTGAATTAGTGTTCTCTTCGGTAACAATGCCGGCATGCATTCTGCACAAAAAAATGAATCTCGATCTTATTGTTAAATTAATTAATTAATTAAATTGACTCTAATTTAAAAAGTCAGTCGACACCCCCTATGAGCCAGAAGTTTGTTATCTACGGTGTCAGCCATTAATGAGATGGGTTTCTTCCGGTTAGAATGAGTTAAAGATCCCATATTGTCTGCAATAATTAAATCATGATTATCTTCGATTTGGCCTAGGGTTTTGGAAAACCCTAATCTCATCCCTATCTATATATCCCTCTAGCTCAAGGTTTCTTCAATTACACCGAGGAGATAAAAGATTATATAATCGACGGGAAAAGAGCCAGCAGGCATGATTTTGAGTGTCAAAACCCAGATTTATATTTGTTTGATAAAGAAAAAATAGCTTGTGAAGGGGGGTTGATTATAATATGTATGTAATATAATCGACGAGCTGGGGATTATTATGTTGGAAGATGCAAACAAAATGAAGAAAACAACAATGAGTCTTCATCAGTCTGACTTAGGTCAACAGCTTGGTACGTGTCTTTTAAAATATTTTAATTAAAGAATATTAGTACAAATTAAAGAGCATGACAAAAATCGAAGGGAAATACACAGTAAGTAGCCGGAGAAATTGAAACTTGTGACAACCAAAAAGGTATAGTGGAAGCTCAATTAGCATTCTCATTGAAGCTAAAAAAATGAGAGTGAGAGAGCGTTGGGTGATTTATTTAAGGGAAAATTACACTCAGGTCCTACAGAGTACAATTAATATAAAAAAGGTCCCTCGAAATCGCGAATGATTCTGAAGTCCCCAGGGACCTGTGTGTAATTAATTCTAATTATGAAATTACCTACTTACCCCTGTTAATTTGAACCTATTTACAACCTAAACAGTGGCTGTTAACAACCCCAGAAGAGGTGGTTAACAACCTCAACAACGCCTGACATTCCACAGAGTAAGTTGTCATGAGCACTGCCGAGGTTGTCAATCATGTCTTCTTGGGTTGTTAACAGCCACTGTTGAGATTGTAAACGAATTGTCACAATAAAATTAGAACCTATTTACAACCTCAACAGTGGCTGTTAACAACCCAGAAGAGGTGGTTAACAACCTCAACAACACCCCTGGCATTCCACAGAGTGAGTCGTCATGAGTACTGCCGAGGTTGTCAATCACGTCTTCTCGGGTTGTTAACAGCCACTGTTGAGATTGTAAACGAATTGCTGTAATAAAATTAAAAGGGGTAAATAGGTAATTTCACAATTAGAATTAATTACACACAGGTCCCTGGGGACTTCAGAATCATTTCGCGATTTCGAGGGACCTTTTTGATATTAATTGTACTCTGTGGGACCTGAGTGTAATTTTCCCTTTATTTAATACTTTATTATTTCATGAAACGACACAGAGAGAGAGAGAGAGAGAGAGAGAGAGGGAGGAGAGGGGGAGAGAGAGAGAGAGAGAGGAGAGAAAGGGAAAAGGAACGAGTCGCAGAGATGAATGAGAGGCGTCTTTCAATGTGTCTGATAATTTAGAACCCGTCGTCTGCGGGCAAAGAAATATCCAAAGTGGTTACATTTTGTTGGTACATTTTTGCTGATCAGTTTGACTAGTTAGAGAGAGAGAGAGATCTTCCATCGTCTTCCTCCTTCTCCTGTTCCTCTTCCTGCTCACTTGTTTGTAGTAGCAACTGTCATTTTCCAACATATACTCTCGAGGAAAACAAAACGCACCACCACCTCTGCTTTCTCCTTCCATCTTCCTTCCCTTTCTCTTTCTTTTCTCTTTCTCTCTCTTTCTTTCCTTCACCTTTTTCTTGGACATGTCTGTCTGCGTTTAGAGAAAAAGGCACTATTATTACTCCGCCTTCCTCCCCTTCTTCTTCGCGCTCTCTCTTACTCTATATACCTAGCTTTCCAGATTCTTTTGCAGGGCGCGAAAGACTGTGGAAAAAAGCAAAAGAGCTGCTCAACTAAAGGATTGGACTTTCATTTCTGCTATCATCAACTCTCTCTCTCTCTCTCTCACTAACTTTGGCGAGCGAGTTCCTCAAAAAAGATGCCCTTACAAGGGATTGCCATCGAGCCCAGTTCCACATGTTCTCCTCCTGATCTTTCCCTTCACATAAGTCCTCCAACCACTTCTTCTTCTTCTTCAAATTTGGCAACTCAAGCTCGTACTGAGCTCTCTCTAGCTCCCAATTTCCGCACAGACCAATCTCTTTCTCATTATCATCATCATCATCATCACAATCACAACCCCACCATTAATGCTTCTGCCGCCACAAACTCTCACTTGAACCACATGAATTCGTTCCTTGATGCGTCCTCCGACGTCGGCCTGAGACCCATCAAGGGGATCCCGGTGTATCACAACCACCGTTGCTTCCCTTTCTTGCCCGTCGACCATTCCACCGGAAAGGATCTTCATCATCACAAGATGTGGTTGCATCATCCCTTGCCCTCTAGCACTTCTTTCTCTTCCTCTTCTTGGGCTTATAATAATAACAATACGATGGGAGCATCAGGATTGGATAATCCGATGTGGGTTTTAAACGGGTCGTCTCCTGCTAATTTCAAATCTCATCATCATCAGTTGCACTATGGGGTCGGGGTCGGGGCTTCTCATCATCGCAATGAGGAGGCCACATCCTCATCGGGGTTCATGAGATCCAGGTTTATGATGCCTAAACTACCCTCCAGGAGAAGCATGAGAGCTCCTAGAATGCGTTGGACTACAACCCTCCATGCCAGATTCGTTCACGCCGTTCAGCTTCTTGGCGGCCATGAAAGTATATATCCATTTTTCATCTTTCTGTTTAATCGATCAGTTTTTCATTTCGACTCTCTCTCTCTCTCTCTCTCTTCTTATTACCAGTGTACTGTATGCGGGTTTTTCTTTTTTCTTTTGTTTTAAGAGATGAAAGGGACTGAACTGATATATTGAGATGGTGAATTTGTATACAGGAGCCACTCCAAAGTCAGTTCTGGAGCTGATGGATGTGAAAGATCTCACATTAGCTCATGTTAAAAGCCATTTGCAGGTACAGCTTTCAACTTTGAACCTCCAATACCCTTCTCTCTCTCTCTCTCTCTCTCTCTGTGACGTGGTTAGGGGCACAGTAGCCGATGAAGAAGGCAGTGAATATCTAATTGAATCTAATTGAACACAGACACAGTAGTAGTCATAGAAGCTCCTTCAACTTCCGAGACTAACCTTGCACAGAAACACAGCTTCTCTGCTGTCACACACAGGAAGAAACCACAGACCAAAAACAAAATGTCATCATTTTCCAATAATACATCTCTCTCACACTCGTTGCAATCTTGTCACACATCAGCCTACCTCGTGATTAATGACCAAAACTATCCCAGAAAATTAGAGTGAGAAGGCATCTAAATGGGAATCTATCGTCATTTCTTTTTCTGTTCTCTTTTTTAATTCCGATTAAAATAAACCAATAGCGGTTTTGCTCTCTTCCGTTTGTGGAAATACATTCGTAATATATATGGCTTGCTGTGACTTGTTCCCAGATGTATCGAACAGTCAAGACCACTGACAAGCCTGCTGCTTCCTCAGGTAGTAATTCTTATTGCTTAATCTCCAACAATTTTTTAATTGTTTAGTAGTCTTATCTTCCTAAACACGCCCCAATAAGTATCGTTCAAAAACAAGGAAAGGGGAAATGTCAAAAACACACTGTTCTTTTCACAGTACTCTATGTATTCTAATCTAACTTTTACTTATACCATAAGCATTTCTCTCTTTCCTTTGTCTCTCGCCTTTATAACCATTTTATCGCTTTATCAGGTATGCCACGTACGCGCACACAACTCCAAAAAGCATATTAGAATTTATATTTGTTTGTGTTTTATATACCACCATATTATAATTTAATCTGTCATTAAGATCGAATAGTTGTATATATGAGTATTAATCAATCTACTTGGTAATATAAATACTGAGTGGTTTTGCCTTCTTTGCAGGCCAATCAGATGGATCTGGTGAGGATGACATGTCCCCCGTCGGTGGCAACGCCGATCGTGGTGGTCTTCGCCAGTTTTCCAATCCAAGAGGCCGATCAGCAGATCGATCTCTGCAACAAGACGTAGACCATCCTTCTACTACTCTATGGAGTAATTCTTCAAGGTATATACCTCACTTATATTATATTTGTCTACATATTAATTATTTAGGAAAAGAATTGCTTGCTTTATATATATGTTCCTGCATGGAGGTGCATATTTTACTCTGATTATGGCAGATTGAGTATCTGATTTGCTTTTGCTTTAATTTTGCTTTTGCATGGTATCTCTTTAGAAATCAATGCAACTCAACGTCCGCACCATCTTTTTAAGATTATAATGAAGAATAAAAAAGGGTTCTTGTCTCTCAGCTTTTGCTTTACTTGTGTTGGGGTTTTATCTTTCTTTTGTTTCTTTTGTGCGCGCACATACTCACATAAATTTTGTACCTTAAGGAATATATCGCACATCATAGCTTTGTAGCTTTGGAATTGGATGGCTTTCACAAAGGAAAGCAACACACCAGACATGACGAAACGCTATAAGAAAAAGCACCCTATATATAATGCTGCATGCACTTTTCTCTCCTTTGGATGTGTGTGTCTCTCTTCGTTGATGCTTAATTGACAGTATTACGAAATTTTGTGAAAGAAAACTCAAAATGTTATAGTTTGTTAATAAGTACCATTCCTTAACCTTGTAAATACTTTCACGTTGAGAGCCATAGATGTACTTTCACATTGTGTGAGAAGATGTGTCGTGTAATTTACATGGGGAAGAAGAAATTAAAGCGGGTGCATGGTCAGTATAGAGTTTTGAACTTTCAAGCTGATATATATAGAGATTGATCTATTCCCTTGGAGAATAATGGTGAATCTTGACAGGAAAAACATTATTAGGTTGAAAATGGGTAAATTGTTTTAGATTTTGAGAATATATAGTAGTTACTGAGAGTATTTTCTGGCTTGTAAGAATGAAAAATGTGCTTGGAAATAGGCCGAAATTTAAGACACAATTATTTACATTCTGCGCTATTATATGATCAAGTCTTGTATATTACACATATAAAAACGAAATGTTGATTCAAAGGTTAGTCTTAATTATTTTCATGATGTGCGTAGAAGAACAGCTTTCAGACTCAGCACCAAGATAGTATCAATTAAGAGACGTCGTTGAGCACATTTTTTTAACGCATTTGTTTGACTTCGACTGCTTGATTCATTATACCTAGGTTATCTAATTATCGTTATAATTAGATATAAAATTAGCTAAGGTAGCCTAGTACGTGGTATAAGATATAAAATTAGCTAAGGTAGCCTAGTACGTGGTATAAGATCACGAACGTAATACGCTGTTTTTCTACCTCAATCTGTACACCTAGTTTCCGTTTTTGTCAAATATGTAATGTAACATATAATATAGTTGTAAAGTATTGAAATGATATAAATCTGCCATTAATTACATGAATTAGCTAAGGTTATATATATACGGTAATTTAATTGATGGAATTAGTTCATCGTTGTGGCACCTTTTCAATTAATGAGCAGCAGAGAGCCATGGCCGCCACAGAATAATCCTTATGATATGGATGGTCTCAGAAAAACTGCCTTCCACTCACAACCGATGTCAAGAGGGCATCAAACTCAGGTATAAGTACTTTATTTTGAATATTGCCTTGATTATTTTGTTTCTCATTATAATTAATTTACATGATATATATATTAATTAAGAAAACTCAATAAATTGTATTGAGATGAAAATTAAATATGGGCGTGCAGGAATGTAATTCAAGGGAAGCACGAGTGCTAGTGAAGAACAGTTTGTCAGATGTCAATAGAGAATGCAAGAATCCATGCTTGGAGTTTACGTTAGGAAGACCAGATTGGAATGGTGGCAGAGGACAGGCCTAGCTAATTGATTTTTCATTATATAATTATAGCTATATATATCCATGGCGATCGACAAGTTCATCATCTTATTCGTTCTTCAAATGTAGAGAGAGAGGTGGTCTTATAATTGCCAGTGAGAAGAGAAGATTAAAATAATCCCTGCGACATATATATGTATACTTCTGCTTTTGGTTTCTTCTCAAGTGATCTATTTTGATTTCATGAGCAGTTTTGTTTACTTAATTATACAGCTAGCTAGATTCTAACTTTTCTTATTGGTGAGGGGATGATTAGGACAATAAATCACATGAGATTGATTCAGATGAAATCAAGGGTGAAGAGAGAAGGGGGGTAATTAAGATGTGTGTGTGTGTGTGTGTTTATATATATTTATATATTTTATGTGACTCGTACTTATAGACGATGAAAAAAGGATACAAATGAAGGCACGTCGATCCTGAAATGCATTAGAGGATGTATAAATAATATATTGTGATAAGTCAATTAATATGTGCAAAGCTAATCAGTATGATCTTCAAAACACAAGCATGAAGCCAGTACAATTAGCTAAATCTAGGTTTATTTACTCATATCCATTACAATCCATCCTCAAATTAAATCTAATTATATTTATGATAAAATACCAGATTTGATCGGAGAGTTAATTATAATAGACACATATAGATAAACGGAGTTCTCTCTAAATCCTGGATTAATGTTTCAGGTGTATTATCCAACACGATGGTTTAAAAAAAGTGTATTATCCAATATACACTCCTATATCTCTGACAAGCCTTCCTCATTGAAATACAACCAAATTCTAACAAATATATTAAGCGCAACGTAGGGTATAATACGCACGAATAAAGGATGCATGGAAGAAAATGTTAAATACTACCTCCGGTCCTTAATATAAGACCCCATTTGACTTTTTATTTGGTCCTAATTATAAGACCCCAATCCATTTTGTCTCTCATATTTATGCATTTTTTTCCAAGATAGTCATTCTAATAATGATAGTTCTAGCCAATACACTTAATTAGCAAGGATATTTTAGGAATAACAACACTTATTTATTATAAATAACTAATTTAACCTACTTCCTTAATCTCCTCAAATAAGTCAACTGGGTCTTATAATTAGGACCGGAGATAGTATATAAGTAATGATGAAATTTAAAACATCATATTTAAAAAAAAAGAAAAGAAAAAAAGAACGCAAGTGTCGCGAAGTAAAGCAATATATAGTGCAGATTGCCACCCGCAATTGATGAGGACGACATAGTCCGAAAAGTACGGATGACAATAAAGACTTTGGGCCTTATTGGACAGTGGAATGATTGGGCCTTTTTGATTCCTTATAATTTGTCTTTTTGTTACCAAGAGGAATAGACCCAAAACAAAATTGCTAAAAAGACACGCACAAAACTTTTATTATTATGTTTAATTGAATTTCAGTTCATTTATGTATAATATTATTTACGCTTTTTAATATAAGAACTAGTTCAATAATTTGAGTATATTAAAAAAAATTAGTTAAGTTAGTTATTTGTAATAAATAGATGTTATCTTTCCTAAAATATCTTTACTAATTAAGTGTAATGGCTAAAACTACTATTATTATAGGGACTATTTTGAAAAAAATAGATAAATATAAAATATAAAGTGGATTATTTACTGTGCACATATCTTTTTAGATAAGAAATGCAATGGAATGTTTCGCCCAAATCTTTTTGAAAAAAAAAAAGCAATGGAATGAGTTTTTCAAAATAGGGGGAAACAGCGTGTAATAATCCATGCATATAAACCATTCCATACTTTTAATTTAATTTTAAATCTTAAAATTATTCACTCACAAATCCTCAATACAGCACACGTGTCAAATTATTGGGGCCTACATCTGCCCAAAATTATTTTCTTAAATAGAATACACATTACATATTTTCTCATCACAAAACATGAAAGTGCTCATCCCCTGTCAATTTAATTAAATCAACCATAATGGCTTCTCCGACTTCGTAAATTATATTTCCTGGAAGACACAGTAATGGAATTCTCCCCAACTTCTTCCTCTGGAAATATAAAATCTGGATCTTCAATACAATTCACTTCCTCTGGCAAATCTGTATCAATCCATCGTGACCATTCCAAATCTTCTTCTTCTTCTTCATCCATCACCCAAGCCAGTTTTTTCTTTTGCTGTTCCATGATGGTAACCCTATCAACTAGATCGCGCAGCAAGTGAAAGTTCAAAACTTCATAATCTCTGCATAATTAACAAAAATTATGTTATATATATATATATATAATATATATAAGTAGTGAAGGTTTTTATGTTTGTGTGAAGCTTACCTGTAAGTGAAAATGGCGTAGATAAGTTGAGCAGAAGCGATGATCATGAAAACTGATCTGATGATACTAATGATGCAAGCCTGTTGTTCAATGTTACCGCTGGTGAAACGAACGATGCTTATTTCCATTAAGAACACAACACAAAGTCCTGCCAACACCACCAAAAAAAAAAAAAGTCCCTCGCTATTATTAAACCCCACAATCACATATATATATATATATATATATATAATTCCCAAAATTTTCAAACTCAAATTCAAAAAAAATAACACCCAAATTTTTTTATTCAAAAAAATTTAAGTGCTCTCCTCTTCTTCTTTTTTTACCAATATACAGCCACGGCCTGGTATTGTACGTCTGCTTCGTGCTGGTCAACATATAGATGACAAAAATGGACACAAAATAAACAATAAAAGCTTTGATCATTCGTGATTCCACAAACATAGCATTCTGCAGAGAAAATATCTTGTCCAACGCAGCGAACATGCTAGCCTGTTTTGATTCAAAAGATTCCTGCAAACATATAAAATATTTATATATATATGTAAAAAAAAACTTGAGATCCAGGCAAAAAGAAAAAGAAAAGAAAAGAAAGAAAGAAACTGGTAAAGCAGTTAAGTTAGTTACTTACTTGAGCAGCAAGTATTGATTTTGAATTCGTCATTAAACGATCATGAAGTCCTTGAACTTGTTCCTGTCGAAGAAGAAGCTCTTGGTGATGTCTCTGTCCAAACTCAGCAAGCTGTTGGAAAGTCAACCTGTAGTGGTAATGGTGAAGGGAAGGGGGAAAAAACACAATTTTTTTTTAAAAAAAAATTGGTGATAGCAGAAATTGAGGAAAACATTAAAGAATGATGGGAAAACCTTGTTTCGTGAGTGCTTTTGATTGGAACTCAGATAATGAATTGAGGTTGTCGAGTGCTTTGGATTGGCCATGAATGAGATGTTGTTGTTTGTCCAAGGAAATAGCAGCCAAGTGAACAATATTCTCAGTTTTACTATGAAGACTTTGCATCTCTTGTGACACTGTGTCTCCAACTTTAATGATCTCCTTCTGAATCTCAATGGATTCATCCCTTATCTTCCCTATTTCTTCCCCTAAATTATTCTGCGACTCTTTCAGAATCTCAATCCCTTCCTTAAATCTCATCTTCATATCCTCTTGTACTTCCGCAAACTGTAATTGTGAGTCTGCAATTTTCTTCCCCTGCTCAAATATATGCTCTCTGAATTCCTCATCAAAACCTTCGTACGATCTTCCACAATCACAACAGTTTCAATCTATTTTTTGTGTGCGAACATTTAATGAATCAACAAATCTTGAAATTTCTTTGATTCTTGCAAGAGATTCTCGGATTTGTCGGATATGGCTCTAGTTTGTCTTCTACGTATGGGCTGAAATTTTGAGGCCTGTGATGAGTCTCTCTGTCTCGTGTTTGAAGGCGTGAGCTCTGTAATGTTATTAAAAAGAAAAGAAAAGAGATATTGGTGTGAGATGAACAATATGAGAAATAACTGAGGGAATGGGAGATTTTAGGAATGGAGGGGATTATTATTATTATTAATAAAACTGAAGATTATTAGTGAGCGTTTGGTGAATTAATGTTGGGAGGGATTGATGAGTTGTTGGGATGATTTGGGTGGTATTTTTGATGGGAAATAATGATGAGAAGTCGAGGGTTTTTGGTTTGGTGCTAATAAAATGTTTTATATTGGGGATTGAAAAATTGTTTTGAAAATGTCGATCAATTTTGAAGGCTTCTTTCGAAATAAAAACATGGAATATTACTATTTGATGAATCAAAAAGGGGCGTGTTTATAAACAACGAAGAAAATTTGCAGAAACATGTATATAAATTTTGTAACAATCATGGATAATCTTTCGAGCTTTAAAATTTATTTTATAGAGTAGTAAATTATTTTATATTAAAAAAGGTTAGTGTAGAAAATTGAAAATCATATGCCCTAAACTTTTGAAATTGAAAATTATGCTTTTGTGAAAATTTCTACCCTAAATATTACGACTAGCTTTTGTTTCGAAAATGATAAAATTCAAATCCTAAACTTAAATTTCTTTTATGTTTTTTGAATTTTTATACTCTGAAAAACGTAACATCTTTCAAAACAAAACACGCAATAATACTGTTTGCTGAATAAAAATGGGGTATTATTTTAACAAACGCCAAAGAAAACCCGCAGAAGCATCTATATAAATTTTGGAACACTTGTATATAATCTTTTGAACTTTTGAAATGGAAATTTGTGTTTGGTGAAATTTTATTCTCCGAAAAAGGCATCTTATTTCAAAGCTTATGAACACTATACACAGGAAACTTAAATTTAAAAAAGACTCATAACTCTTTCGTAAAGTAGGATTATATTTTCACTCAAATTATAACATTCAAGTTCACAAAAACTACGATTAAGCTTTGCAGAGAACAGAGTATCCAAGAAAATAAAAAGAAACAGAAGAAACAGAGTGGGGAAAACATCTTATTTCAAAGTTTATGAACTACTATATACCAGTAACTTCAATTTTAAAAAGAAATGGACAGATGCTAAATTTTCACACAAATTATATAGCATTCAAAATCCCCAAAAACTACAATTAAGTTTCGTAGAGAACAGAGAGAATAAAAAAAGAAGATGAAACAGGAGTGAGGAAAAAAGGCACTTACTGCAACTGATGGCAGATTGTGTTGGTTTCGAGATAGAACTCAAGATAGACTTTGTGGGCAAGATCATCGAGAGCTTTGAGGCAACTAGACATGGGTGATTTCGCATCACAATGTGGAAAATGAGGCCGACCAGAGTCTCTTTGGAAGCAATCACTGAGATGCCAAGCAAGTCTTGAACGTTTCTCTTCATCTGCTAGAATCTCAGAACACCCTGCAAATACATTCTTATATGCGTTTTGCCAACACCAGTTTGATCTCACCATTTTCTCCTTTGCGTTCTCCACTAACTTTATTCCCCTCTCGTCATTTAAACCTTCCGCTGAGTATTCTGCAACTGAACCTCTCACTGTGTTTGATCCACAATGGGTCCTTCCGGAGGTTGATGATAATGATGAGAACCAATTCCATGACTCGCTTCTTGTGAAGAAACAGAGCACGATAAAAACCATAAGACGACCATGGTTACCACCCATGTCGGAATTCACGTACAAGGTTTGATAATTCTGCATCAAGCTCAAACCCCCAGATTGTTAGACAAGTTTTTCAAAACGATTCGCATGGTTTTGGTACTTGGGGTTCAAGAAAAGAAAGTGATAAAGCAGTGGATAAAGAGAACAGAGTGAATATCTTCAATAATAGAAGTTAGAATAAGACATCGAGAAAGATATTGGCCGTCCCTTCATATCATAAACAGTCAAATTTAATGTTTTTTAAGGAATAAAACAAAATAATAACATATTGAATTCATGAATCATGGAGACGTATTAGTAAAAACGTCATGTATGAAGGTTTAATTTAATTGTCGGCAAAACGAATAAATCCATCGATGAAATTCCATAACCAAATCTGCGTTTCTGGACTGGTTTGAGAAGGGATCAACAATATAGTAGCCGATCAATTTGAATCTATTGTATAAATTATGATCGAATGGTGAAAGTAAAACAAGTGTTAGATTCCAATTCAGACGACAGAATGAGAATTACTCCGTTCTTTGTTCACAAACTTCATCAGGCTGAATATTCAACAACTTTATCACAACAATTTGTGAAAGACGTAATAAAAGAGAAATGAGAAAAGCACTTTAAGTTTACATCATTCAGTCTCTTCAAATTCCAGTATATGTGGCCTGAATAGAATTTCAAATTCATGTATGTTTTCCTCTAAGGTTATACTGTCGTAAAACAGAGAACTGTAGTGCCGATTCTTGTTTCATCTACAGTCCTTGCAAATTCTTAAACAGAATCTATCTGAACTTCTCGTTACATATGCACAAAAAACACAGATTTATAACACAAAAGTCTTACGTTCTGTTCTTGTTGTGCGGTAGGATATTTTTTCTTTTTGTTTTTTTAAGGGACAAACTGAGACTTGGAGTTCAAGAAAAGAAAGCGAAAAGGTGATAGCAACAGGTGGGGAAAAGTCAAAAAACAGAGTGTACAGTCTTCAACCACAGAAAAAAAAATTACATCATGAAAGATACTGAAACATCTGGTTTAAAAAAAAATGAAAAGGATTGAAGCAAGGGAACAAAACATCATCGTACCGTACAGATTAAGGCGATTCCTTTTAATTTCAGAGGACTCTGGTTTGATGAAGCGAGGCTGTTAATGCTTAAAATGGAAACTGGTAGATGGAAAGTGACGAGTCTGTTGATGCCAAAACGAAGAGACAAGTCTTGTGGAAGACAATGGTTCGTTTTCCTTTTTCCTAATAACTCGAAACAATCAAAAGGGCGCGAAGCGGTTTGGCCATAAAAATTTACATCTTTTCCAACAATTAGAATAGACTATAAATTGTATTTTAAAAAAAGAATAGAACTATAATTAGAATTAAAAAAATCTCATTATATTAAATAATATAGAGTAACGAAATATTGAAATTGACATTTGCACGCAAGATATATGAGAGCATTAACATACACAAGAACAAAGTTCTGAGTTTCAATCCTTGTTCCTTCTAAAAAAGAAAATCGTTATTATTTCTGATTTTGAATTTCAATGTAGTAATTGAATAAATTAATGTAATGCTTAAAATGATAGTTTTAATGTGATAATATATCAATTGGCGCAGATCATATGAGGATAAATTTTATGAATATTAAATTTACAGCAACACAAATTATTTGTAAGAATCTGTTTTCTCATAGATTAAGAAAGAGAAAACTATTTAATCTAGTGTCATTAAATATTCACGTATAGTTATTTGCTTGCTTATAAATGAAATTATTAGTGTTTATATCGTGATTTCAGTGGAATAAATGCACTTTAATTCTATGAAGTAAATAAAAAAGGGTAAAGGCATTTTCAGATAAATAATTTATGTTGCTGTTCATGTTAAAGTGAATTTTGATTTCCGTGAATTTTTCCCTTATTTTCTCTGCCCCAACTAAAATTTTACCTCATAAAAATATGTACCAGTACAGACAATAGAAAAAGATAAAAATATATCTTTTGAGATAAAATGGAAGCTATGCTTAGAAAAATTCTAGCAAGAAGTGTCAAAAGGTTTGTTTGACACTTGATAGAGACATTCCAAACTGAGGATTCTCCGAGAAAAATTGTGACACGACTCCATTAATGACCAAATAAGGCTAAAATTTAATCCAAGGCTTCACTTTAGTTTTGACTCTTTAAGCATTCACTAATAGAATTGTCAAAGCACACCGGAAGCTCAGTAATTATAATAAACAGAAGACATGATATATAAGATGAACACAATACAGACGCTTCAAATTGTTCTCCTGGAGCTCTTATACGTGATAAACGTACTAAACAAAACACCAGGAGCCCAAAACCAGTAATCCTAAAAGAACTGAAGGAAAATCCAGAAAGCCTAAAATAAATCGGACAATCATGGCCCTGCATGTACTACTGTACAAAAGTCATAACAATGGAGCAGATAAACCAGAGCCAGATCTGAGAAGCGAATGATCCCTTCAAAGTTTTAATGTCAAATCTGGGGTGGACTTCTCTATGTCTACTGGTGGATTCATATCCCTAAAACTCAAACCAGAACTTTCAGTCAGCAGAAAATTCTGATGATCATCACCGATGCCTGCAATCTGACGGAAACTACCAGGCCAGACAAGTCCAGGTTCATTATCCTCCAAGAACATTGGCTGACCAAAATATCCTATCTCAAATCTTGCATTGCTTTTCATCTCTTGAACCTTCATTGTTGGTGGAAAGCAATAGTGCTGTGAGGAGTGCGCTTTTATTCCCAATGATCTGGAAGAACCATTAAGAGGGAGAGACGCGAGACTTGCATACCTCTCAGAGAAAAGACCCATCCTCATGGCATGCTTTGCCAATGATCTTTCTCTCTTGTGTGCATTTTGGTGGCCCCCAAGAGCCTGCGAACTGAAGAACTTGCGTTGACAGTAATTGCATGAGAAAACTCTGGCAATGGTCGCTTCTGTAGTTTGAGAGGCAGGTTCATTGCTACTCTCACTGGTGCTTGAGAACGAGAGTCGTACGGAATCTCTTGAACCTGCTATCTCCTTATTATTTAAATTCAGAGTCAGGTCAAGTGATATGGGATTTGCATTTCCATCAATAATCTCTGTTGGAATTCCTGGGGTGGAAGAGTTGGACAGGTTTTGATCAATACAAGGACCCGCAATAGTTTCTTGAGTGGATATATTGGAAGCAACCTGGCTGCTGACTTCAAATTCACTTTCTGCGGAGGCCTCCACCTCAAGATCAAAGTTTTCTTTCATGACTTGGCTGTGCTTAAGTTGTAGCCCAGTTTTCAGCTATTAACCATCAAAACCAGATCCCTTTCAGGGTTGCAGCAAAAGAATTATTCTGGCCTGCTCCTGCAATGAAATGCCTTACAGTTCATACTTATAGCATAGCGGAAAACAATCTGATATCAGGAATAATTTTATGGTCTTCAAATCTGCTAGGAGAGGCAGCAGAATAGATGAACTCTATTGAAACTGCAGAAGATTACCAGATATAAAGCAAGGTGAAAAAACAAGCAATTCATGGATGCACTTCTTTTTCTGTTTTTCCTATACCAAGCTCGAGGAGGACGAAGAATTGTTGAATTCATGAATCATGGTAGATCTACTAATAAAATGCCATGGAGGAAGATTGATTTAACTATTTGCAACACATAATCCATCTATTAAGTCCCACAGAATATTTTGTCTTTTCAAGACCCGTTTAAGAACAGATCGGCAAAAAGTATTCCACCATTTTGAATCTGTTCTAATGTATGATCAAAGGTCGAAAGTGAAACTAGAGCTGGATGCCAGTTCAATTAGAGAATCTAATAGTGCTCTCTGTAAGGAACAGCTCCTGACTAAATCTTGACCCATATGCATTGTATCTGGCCTACTCTGGCGCGAATATGTGAAAAACTGGTAGCAAGAGGGCGAGCCCTGAACTATAAATATATAACAATTAGCGTGTGCACATTACAATATGACTTTTATTATTTTGACCAAACATTACAATATGACTTGACTAAGAAACAGAGAGCTAACTTCCAATTTGAACTCAAACTCCGCGATCCGTCAGTTTGCAAGTTCAGGGAAAAATTGAGGGAGAAGAGAAGAAAGAGTGATCATGAAAGCGCACAAAATAGAGAAGAAAACAGCAACAATAATAAGGTGCAATTATACCGATATATTATAAAACAGAGAAATGCATGCGGATAAATGTTAGTCCTTGCAGATTCTAGGAATTCTATCTGGATTTGTCATATTATATATGAACAGATGTACAAGAGTCTTACAAGGGATATTCAGAGGCTTTAGAACGCTTGGCCAAAGAAACAGAGTGGAGTCGTGCGGAAATAAGGCAAAACTGTTAGAATCCACAAACCATTTCGTCAATCCAGTGATTCTCAAATATATAGAAGGCAGGAAAAGCTAAAACAATAAAATATTTATCATAGGATGACAGTGAAGAAAAGAGTATTACTTAATACATACCCTCTCTCAAGTCTCAAGATCAAGTGGAACTAGCTTGCTCCTTGAAATCACCTAAAAAGTGCTTTGGAATTGGAGACATCTACTTCTAGCGTTGCTTTTCTTCGTATGGCTGATTAGTAGTAGAAGACAAAACAGGTTTGTGGCTTTCTATGTTTCTGAAACACTAATAGAGGGTAAGGTGAGATCAAAAGAGATTTTTTTTTTTCAAAAATAAAAAATCACCGAAAAGGAATAATAATAAAAGTGTGAATGAGGAGAAAGAGTGAGAGAGAGAAGAGAGAGAGAGAGACAGAGATGATGGGCATTGATGTTTAATTATGGAAAAGCTAAGGTAAGAAGTGAGTGTGGGAAAGGTTGGGGGGACAATGGTGGGACGTCAAAGAAGTCAGAGAAAAAGGAGGAAAAAAATGCTATCTTAGAATTTAACAAAAGATAAGGTTATGTGCCTCTTTCTGGTAGAAACAACCGCTTCCCCCACCTGCAAAGTCCAAACAACAACTAGTTCAGAAGCATATGATTGTACATAACATGAGAAAGAATAGAACCAAAAGCAAGCAAAAGGTGTTAGCCATTATTACCTACAAAGATTCTCCAACCTCTCTCTCAACCCCACCTTACAAGTGTTTCAGATAACTCCACCATGCATGGGGTCGGCTTCGCCTTTCATAACTTCATATTTCAGATATTGTTTCGTCCATCGTCCAGCACAACCACTCTCTTCACCTTACTCAGACCAAAACATAAATTATTCATATTCATAGAGTCCATACAATGCTACCCCCTACAACATCATTTGTTTCTCCTATTTTTAACAACCCCACTCACCATAAATAATACAGCACATGTCCTTCCCAACAAACCCATTTTTTTTCATAGCATTATTGCCATTCCTGTGTTTTCCTTTTCTTTTTAATCTTTATATCCCTTCCAATTTTTTCTTCTCTAGTTATATGTTTCTTGTCTTTAGGTTTAAGATGCTATTTTAGTGAGATGAGACAACAGTGGGAGCAAGTCATCATTAAAACATTAAAGCAAAGCATGTTTTAAGCAGCTAATCATCAAATATATAGCGCCTATGCTCTAATCGTTATTACCAGATTTGGTGAATCTTGTTTCAATTATTTCGCATGATAAAAACAAGTCTCCATCATAGCAACAATTTCACCAATTACCCTATTCAAAGGGTTTCTCTGAGGAATATCCTCAAACACCTTGCCTGCCAAGATAGAGTTTAAACGTGTCAGTTTTCTTTAGGCCAGAAGGATAACTACCAAGCGTCAGTTTACCAATCGAGTAACGAGAGTGAGGACAGGAAGCACCATATCCATATGGCTTCCGGTCTCCATCTTCAAATTGACTTTTTCTTCGTAGAAAATAACGCGATGGTCCATTATTCGACGCACGAAGATATAGAAGCATCGTTGCCCTAAAAACCAAATATTTGTTCATTTATTCTAGCCTCGAGAGTTATCATCAATTGCTTGGTTATCACGAAGTCCCTGAGGCTAAGGTATCCAATACCCAAAACAATCATAATTCTTTATCCTTTCAAAATCAAGAAAGCCATTGTAAGTTTGTAATGGCTTATTATCCTATCTATAATGAAGATTAAGAGCGCGTTTAGAACAGCTTATAAGTAGTTTATAAAAAGTTTTTCAATAGTAATTTACGGAATACGAAACAAGTACGTGAGAGGAGTTTTTATCTCAGTTTACATGAAATGAATTTATGAAAAATTTTCACTACTCTGCCAAACGAGGTCTAAAAAGGCCATACTACAAGCAAAATAGATTTTCTTTTTTTCTTTTTGGGCCAGACAAATAAATTAGATAATCAAATATTCGCCTATCAACTGGGAGTTAAAATAAATTTTTCGTCCTTTATACTGAGAGCAAGGAGCAATGTTCTTTTCACACTATAACCTGTACGGACTCTGTGGAATGCTCTCACATGACATGCAATAAAACAGGACAAGCCATTATTTTATCCATTGTTTATGAATCAAAATCTGGACTGGACGAATAAATCTTCGGCAAAATGATTTTTTTTGGGACGAATCAAGGATAACTTACTTTAAGGCTCCACTCCTCGCAGAATCACCAGAAAAAAATTGTGGACGACAATTATTGATCCATTAGAGACATTATTTTAATGGACTCACAATGCGCTAAATTAGATAATTTCATGGATAGAATGATATATCCCTCTGAAACTAAATGACAGAAACTTCAGAGTTCAGATACTGAGAGAACTTCTGCAGAATTATATAATATCCACATGTGGTGTCAGGAATCAAGATTATGCTTCTCCAGCGTAATCCTTATTCCTTAAAGTACTCACATTTCATTGGCCTTTGAATAAGATAAACGCTAGTACTCAAATCAAAAGAGAACCAGAACTTTAAAAGAGAGAGGTACTACTTTGTGTAATGGGGCTGACGAGGCGGGGCTTATAAAGAAGTAAAGAAGCATGTATGATATCTTACAAAAATTGCTTTTTGAGGGTGCGTGTATAAAATTAAGCGAAAGTAAAACACAGAAAATGGTAATATAATGGAGGAGTCAGGAGGTTAAGGCGCATGTTGAAATGGGATTAGTGTTTCTAACACCAAAAGAAGACAGCGAAAAGCAGGAGAAGGTGGTAATATTATCTCAAACAAAGCAAATTTGGCAAATAGACTGGGGACATACCTATGAATTAGCCCGTGAAGGTCTAAGCAGATATGTCCAAAAGCAGATTAGTAGTGGATTTCTAAAAGACATCACACAAGTGTGGTTCCACAGACAACACTAAAGAAACAAGTGAAACCTGCACCTATCATCGTACCCACTATACTGTCCCATGAAAGAAATGAAGAAATCAAAGCAATGGCATTGGCATGGAGCCAGCTTTTTCTTCTTCTTCTTTTTTACTGTTTTTTTAAGCTTTAACAGAAGGATGAGTTTCGTGTGGCTGTGGGGTTGAGGGAGAAACAGAGGGCACGTGAAGGAGTGTCACGGCAGTGAGAGACAGGTTGATGTTTCCGCCGCTTAGAGCAGTTGGGAGTTCCCAAGAAGCCTTTCCTCATCTCCACAATGGTCCCCCCCACTAATCCCAGGTTTCAGATCTCTTATATTTTAATTATCTGCATTAAACATATGCGTCTAATCCTTTGTCCGCTTCTATATCGTACTCAATGCACATGTGTTTATATATATAGAAAACCTCACCAAGACCCAGTTATGTTAGAATTAGGAGCATCAGAAGTATTAATGGTTATGTTGGTGATCAACGTTTAACAGCAGAAAGTATACTTCAGCAGCCGAGGTTCTTTAGCACTGATGTCAAAATTCAGCTTGTAGTTTAATAAGCATTACAGCAACCTTTTCCCCATTTTTGAGCGAAAATTGAACTAATTAAATTATAAGCCCAAACTCTGAAATGATCTCATCTTTGTCCCAAGTCACCTGAATGGAAGGCCCACTACGTAAGCTGAAGGCCCATGTAGAGCACAGAGAGCCTAAGTTGACCCCTTTATCAATGAGGTTACATCAATTCCAATCGTGACCCTTGGAAATAGAATGAAGTTGTTTGCTCCGACGAACAACGGATCAGATGGACTTGTATGGTTTTGATTATAAAAAGACGAGTAATAATAACATCGATGTCAAGAGATTAGGCTAGTTCAGTAAGATGAAACTTTCTGGCTCTGTAATGATATATACATGACAGAATCGGCTTGAAGAAGTCAGGCAAATTTGTTTCATCAGGCCAGCCAAGATTAACTGTAACCTACCTTACCCAACTTACCCAACGGCTCGATTCATACAAGTGGCTCTAGTGATATATGTGTCTCACTTATTTAAATTTGTTGGACGCACCTTTCAAAGATGGTAACCATCAAGTTCTAGACTTTATCTGTTGCTTTGAAGATGCACATGCTTTTGTAATCTGTATGTGTTACCTGACAATTCTTATATAGAGAATTGTCAAACTTGAGCTTCGTATCTTTCCACTATGTTTAAAACACCCTTATTCCATTCATTCTGAGCTCTAAAACAGCCTTTTATGTATTGGTTATGGAGGAGTTTTGCAGAAGAAAACAGAGCACGAAGGGAATCTCAGCAGAGAATCAATTATCGAAACAACTTCTCGTCAGATTTAAGTCTTCCCACTTGTGGTGGTTTTTAAGACTAATCGTGATAGAGTTTTGGAGGAACTTGAAATTATAGAAATCAAAGTGAAAGTGACGTGTAATTGGGGATAAAGAAGGAGTCAACAAGATTACTTGGTGCTGCTGCTTTCTTCTCTCGGGAAGGCGGCAGGGTGGCCAAAAGCACAAGTTTGGCCAAAAGAACGTCGCCGTTTTCCAATTGGCTGCCTGCGATGTATCCACCCCCATAACCTCCATCTTTTCCACATTTTCTAATTATTTGTTTTTATTTTTTTCAAAAGAAAGTAGAAACGTACTATATGCCTTTTCTCTTTTCTTTCTAACAAAACATTTGCCGCACCCACCAAGCATTTGTTCTTTTGGTATAATTCAATATATTCTCACATTACTTTGGGCTTAAAACTAATTTGTATTGGAATAAAAGCGTTAAAGTTAAAACTTTTTCAACAAATACGTTTTCTTTTTTTTTTGATGAAACATCAGGATATCCACCGGCGGACTCAGTGACTAATCCCTTCGCTGGCTTGTAGACACCTCGATGGGTGGGACAGCTGGTCCGAGATTTTAAAGCTTTTCCATACCCAAGGCAATGATCAAACCCTCGACACTTGGTTAAGGGAGGATGAGCCCCCACCGCTCAACCACACCCCCGGGTTAACAAATACGTTTTCTAAAATTTGAACTTGTGTTATTATTCTTGCAAGTGACACTGCTTACCAACTGAATCAACAACTTATTAGTAGCCCCTAAGCACTTGTTTTAATTAGCAGTTGTATCAAATTAATTAGAAGTCTCAAATTCAGTTTCTAAAAACTTTAAATATTTTGTTGTAGAGTTTTGTCCTCCTTTTATTTCTTCTTTAACTTAATTCAAACTAGTCTTTTTTTTATTTTTTGCCATCCTTAATTCAAATTAGTCTGGATCCCTAGTTACTTCTCAAATTAATCCCAGATAGGCCTGAGATACCCAACACTCAATACAAAGAAAATAAATAAATAAATAAGGAAAAAAAAAAAGGAATATTGGGCGTCCGCCATGCCGTGTGCATGTAACCGTCATTGCTCGTCATTT